CACAACTTCGATTGATACCGAATACCCAAGGACTTCGTTTAGACAATTGAAAACAGAACCAGCCGAACAATTCTGCTTCACATATCGTCTACCATTTCACCTGCAGTTGCGGTGACACTTACATCGGCAGAACGAAACGGCCCCTGGCACAACGGATGTCTGAACACATTCCCAAATGGTTGGTACAATCGATGACGCACCAAAATCTTAGAGGTCAAACCGATAAGAGAAATCCAGGGTCATCAATCGCAAAACATCTCATGACAACTGGACACATCGTTGACCCACAAATGTCGTTCAAGCCACTATTGCGTAACTGGAACCCCAGGATTTTGGCGCTTAGCCAGGCGATGCTAATCACGTTACGTAACCCAATATTATGTTCACAAAAGTTTCTTACTCAATCAGTTAGACTGCCATGGACTTGATTTCCCACCCATCCATCCTCTCTCTCTCTCTCGCTTCTCTGACTATTGTCCGTTTTACCACTACTGTAGTTATCAAAACTTGCTTGTATAATCACAAGATAATGTTTTTATATTGGTGGGGTAAAGTTTACACGTATAGAAGCATATTCCATAATGTTCAAGAGGTAGGTAGGGTAGCTATGCCCCCGGTGAAATAGCATTTCGTAGTTTAAACCATTCGAATCACCTCGTTGGAAGTACACTTCAGTCATGAATACTCAGGGTCAGCGTGCTTTGTACCCATTTAGATGCTTCAGTCTTTCTATCCTCCGGGTGGGATTTATGGCATTTGGCATTCGGTGAACAATTTTTCCGTGAGAATTTCAGTTTACAGAATAGGTAAGAGCCACAAATCACAGTCGAAAATGAAATACAGAGTCGCATCCTAAATTGTACGCGGGAATCTTCCGGTACCGAGACGCGGGAAAAAGGCCACAGAAGTAGTGCGGTTCATTTATGGACAGAAATCAATGAGAATACGTAATCGGTACATTCGGATCACGTCTGATTAAAATACTGACAGGTTTGGGGACAAGTGAACACATATGGGGCAGAGAAATCAATCAAAGATCACTAATATGATTGGGCATTGGATGCGGAGAGCGGAATCACTGCAGGGTGTGTGTGTGTGTGTGTGGGGAGGAGAGGAGAGGTGAAGGACAGTGACACACTTACCAGCGGACAGCTCGAGGCTAGCCACAAATTTGGCCTGTTTCACATAAATCGGGCTTGTGACGTCGAATGGCACCCGCTTCAGCGAACCGTAATAGACGACTACCTTTCTGGCGGATCATGACACGAAAGGCGTCCCTGGGTTTGTCACATTCTTTGCAATTCAGTATAGATCGGGCGACTGAACTGGACAGAAGCTTGGACCCGTTAGACGTCAAAGTTTTCGGTACATGCTCTGCTATCCTGGTAGACAATTGTCTCTCAGTTCTCGCGACGTACTTGCTACCCTATTCTCTACCCTATCCTCCAGTGACAACCAACCAATCATTTTATCTTATTTCAAGCCTAATGGCTTTCTTCATTTTCAACAACGCTTCCAGAAACCTATCAGCCTATTGGCTACAACCAGTGCGATCTGGTTTCGGTGTATCTGTTATGAATTAGAAAACTTGAGTGACGACTCCTACCCATCACATGATGCTACAATGTGATTCGCGTGATATAGAACGGTATAGCTTGATTCATACCCCGTTATAGACTGCCTCAATCCGGCCAGTTTGTAGTTTTTGCTGTTGTCAAAACAACATTTGAAGATTGGACGGTCCATCTGTATCAACTTCCTAACCATTACGACCAGGTAAGATCTAGTGGTGGTTTGTCTTCAGTATATATGCGAAGTTGGACCTCATCTACGGTGCGAATCTATAGGCCCAATTGAGGAACGAACCTGGAACCTGACAGGTGGAACCAGAGGACAATAACTCCCACTCGGCCACTGAGCAGCTGATCAGACGTTTTTTAGTTCACGCTTCATTTGCTCGGTACCGGACGAAGTTCACCATCTGATCAGCTAAAATCCTTCACCAATCCGAGACGTAATCCCGAATTCGAGTTTTTGTGTGAAAGAGGCACATGTTCTGGGTCTTCATTATAAATACTAGAAACGCTGTCGAGCTCCGTTCCATGATGGTGGTGATGCAGTGGTTAAGTCGCTGTCACTGGCTAGCTTTGGACCCTATGGTTCTAGGCTCGAGCCCCGACACCGCCATCAAACTTTGGTGGTACGCAACTTTGCTGTCGTCCGGTTTAATCCTACGCCTAACCAAATGGGACCTAATGTTGTTCGGTACTCTAAGTCCCGCGGAGCATAAGTTACCGGTTTCCATTACCCAATAGCAGGTCGTTGTGACTATGAGGCCTCCCTCGTCTTCTGTCCATCCCACTAACATTTGTAATTCTAAAAAACGTGTTGGGTAATGAACAGTTGATGCTGTTCAAAAACAACGCACATAGGATCACGTACATGCCAAACGGAACATTTAAACATATCACAATGTTAAACATGTTAAAGGACAATGAGGTAAAGTATCTTCATGTCATGCTACCTTCGCTAGGAAGTTGTGATCTCGAACTGGGACACCCGTTGACAGATGACGTAATACTACGTAGTACTACAGGGTGGGCCATCGAAGAAAATACATAGTTTTTTGCGCGAACCCAAGGTCCGAAAACCTACCTACTGCTATTCTGAAGACCAGAAAAATCAAATACATCTGCTATTGAACAGAGCGATAAGAAGAGCCGCTTGAAATATTTCATTCTGCCGGAGCGATTCTAACAAGGAACCAATTAAATGACAGTACCGGGGTGGAGTTTGATTCAAATTATAGAATAGATTTCATCTTGCACAAAGAGCAAATGAAGCATAAACTAGAGGGTTAGGGGAGCACTGTAGAGCTGTTTCGATCTGGTCGGATCTTGTTTGCATTGTAAGACCATCTGCCCAAAATGGATAGACCGTTAAGCGCAACTATACTACTCATTTACTAATCCCCAGGGAGGCTGATCAGACTGTTCTCATTTAACCTGCGGTCTGGTTGAGAATGTTTTCAATCACGAGCCATGACCCTGACGGCTAGTGTTGAGATTAACGTGGTCTGATGATCATA